CAATGAATGTACAAATGTGCTTTACACAATTGATGTATGTATGGATTGTGATAAGAGTTGTATGAGCCCCTAATAAAATGATTAGAAAAAAGAAAGAGTTGTATGAGGCCCTAATAAAACAATTTAAAAAAAAAGAATTATCAAACTAAAATTAAAAAAACATTATTGAACTAAATGTGACTAGGATGAATCTTCCTATGAAAACATAAAGCGTGGCTTTGCTATCATGCACCATGCATTGGGAAGTGGATGACTGCAGATGCAATCAGGTTAAAATCTAATACCTGATCATTTGAAAATGTTTGGATCCATTTTAAAGTCTTTCTAGTTTTCATATTTTCGGCTATCTTTTTGACTGAGGTTTTTGTCTGTTTTATTTTGTTATTGTTAGTTTAAAATTTTATTTTCTGTATATTAAATGAAGGATAGGTAAATCTATAGAGACATTAACTGGATGAATGGTTCCTTGGAGTTATGGAAGAAGAGATTGCAGGGGAATGAAGAGCTAATAATGATAAGTCCAACAACCAAGAAAATGTTTTAAATCTGATGTTTTAAACATCAGAAGAGTTAAATGTTTTAACTCTTCTTGATGTGATTGAACTATTGAATTGTATGATAGGTCAATTCAATGAAAACTTTTTTCAATTCAATGAAACTTTTTTTTTTTTTAAAGCAGCTAACATCCTATACCAAGAATATTTTTGCAGGTCAGCTCACAGAGATCAGACATGTTCTTCCTGACAAATGAGGCTGAGTAGGGAAAAAATGGGGTACACCATGACCGAGCAAGTGCATGGTTAAACAAGGAGCTGAGTCCACGTTCGCCTGATGCTAAAGCCCACATGCTATCCTGGCATGACAGTTCCATTCAATTCTGTTCTACACGGAAGTGTGCAAACTTCATGGGCAAACAAAGGAAGCACTTGGAAGAAAGATGATGAGGCTGCCCAGGGGAGCGCTAGCATCTCAGTCCTTTATAAGTAGCACCCTACAGGAGAGAGTACATGTGACAATCTGTCTTGAGCCAGGCTGGGATGAGGTCACAAAATCTGCCCTTACCAGCCCATAAAGAGGCTATCATTCCCAGAAGAAACAACGAGGCCTGGGAGACTAGACTTGTCTCAACCAATTTACCCCAATGCCATTTTGTCTCCCATTCCAGTCTGCCTGATCTCCAAAGGGTAGACAGCATTTGCCTTTCCTGTCTGCCAAGGCCTGTGAGATACATTAAGTCCCCAGTCGCACGGAAATGCAAGCAAACAGAAAGAAATTCAAGGGTTCCAAGACTCGACCAGGAAGCAAGTTGGCCTTCTCAACTGTCATGTATTCTTGACTTGCCCAGATTTTAGTTTGGATCCCGAGAGGAAATCTTCTCTCTCGTGTCACCCAAGTTCTCCTTCTCTTATGTGACACATCCCCATAAATTTCTTCTCCAGGGAAGGTTGTGTGTCTAAACACACTGTGGCTATCTCCTCTACCTCAAGAAGAAGGTTCCAGGCGGTATCTCCCAACACCTAAAAGGAGGGAGGATGCCAAGCTGTATGCCGGGTCCTGAGTCTACAGATTTTCATTTCAACAAGGTAAACTGGTAAACTCCAAGTCCTGCACTTGGATGTTGTCAGCAAAAGATCAAATGGTCAGATGAACCTGGAGATGACTTGGACAGACACAGAAGTGAGAGTCGGTTCTGCCCCATGACAGATTGACCTCACTGGAGCTCCCGGCTTGATAAAAAACATTGTAGACTGAAGCTTGCCTCCTGGAGGGGAAATTATGAAACCCAATGACATGTTAAAGTGGCAAAGAATAAGCAGAATCTAAAATGTCATTAGTGCTACCACTGTCAGCTCAGACGTGTGGCCCCCATATAATGCAGAACCAAACACTGCCGAGTTGTGTGTCCTCATGAGGCTCAACTTCCTTGTGGTGGTCACTTGGTAATTTCAGTGTCTTTCACCAAAGAGCCCGTCTTCTAGCACTCTCTCAGACAATATTCTATGGCCACCCCGTAAGGGTTTCAGTGGCTAGTTTTTAGAAACAGATTGCTACGTTTTCTTTGCCTGCAGTAGTCAGGCAGCTCTGCTGAAACCTATGCCACCATGAGGGGTCATGACCCCCAAATCCTAGTTCTTTGGAAACGATGGCA